GTCTGGGGCATTGGTAGACAGAGATGGGCATTTGGGAGGTGGTCACCACAGTGCAGGGTGATGCATTTACAGATGATAAATGGATGACCTACTAGATGCTGGTGGAAATTTGCAGAGGTAGAAACTGGAGGGAGGGAATCAGAAGAACTCAGTCTCGAGCAGTGTGTTTTATAGCTCCTATTGATTACAGCTGTGAAGTGAACATCTTTGCTATTCCATATGATTCAAGCTGTGATTTTTCTCCTGAACCATGGCCCAGAAATAATGGGACCAAGCAATCATGGACTTAATGTTCAGAAAGCATGTGTTTCATTCCATGTTAGTAGTAGACCTCAATGATGGTCTGAGTAGTTGTGTTGGGCAGCTTTCTGTTGCTGTGATAAAACACTCAAGGCATCCACTTAAAAACTAAGAAAAGGTTGTTTTAGTCATAGTTTGGGGAGCTTGGGTCTGTGGTAGCCCTGTGTATCATTGGGAACATGGTGGAAGACAGGGACATGACTCCAAATGACCTAATTTGCTCCAACGAGGCTCCACTTCCGACAAGTTGTCCCTTTAGCATCCCTAGGAGGACTTTGCCTGTAGATCCATGGGTCTTCAGAGAAAATTCTAGGCCCTCCACAATAAAACAAGTGTTAGGATTATTGGCACTACTCTGTAGCTCACACCTCCCAGCACACCCACCCAGGATGGAAGGAAAAGATACATGTGAGATGTGTCTGATTGCTCATTTCACACTAACTGTATCATCTTTGGTTTCTTGGAGCCTGAAACAAAGCCAGGCTGTCCCAAGGAAGCCCGAAACTGTGTATTTACATAATTTCTAAACTTTATCTTAAAAAAGGAAAATCACTCATTAAAATGTCAGCTCTATTCTCCAGTTTGTAGTTTCCCTCATGGTAATATAGGTAGAATCAAGGAAAATATTGCACCACTGACATTCTGGTTCAGTGACTTTAAAGCCTTAGTTTATATGGAGAATTCACATAAAACATAAATCCACTGCACTCACCTGCCACCAGTATTTCAGGAACATGGCCATCAGCTCTCAGAAACATGTGTGTTCTTTGCTCTTCGTGTGCTTTCCAAGAGATTTTGCTAACAAAGCTAGGGCGGAGAACACAGCTTTAACTCAGACAGATGGTAAAGGTATTCCCTCCTGTGGGTCAGTTGGTAGAAAATTCAGGAAAAGTGTGTTAAGAAGGAATCTGAAGCCAAATCCAGTCAGTGGTGCATTGTGGCATTATTGATTAGTGATGTCTGTTGTGGGTGAGGCATCAAATCTTGGCGTCATGCATTTACCCTGGAAAAATTTGTCTCCAACTAGATCAATGGTTCATGTTTGATTGGCTGGTCTTTGTCAGTGTGTGCCTAGGGCATTGCCATGTGGAATAGAAGCTTGACATGTGATTGCTGAATAAGGCTATGAGATAAGTAGTTTTATTCCAGTGAGTATGGAAGGGAAGAAAGAAAAGCAAGACAAGTGATTTAGGCTTTGAAGTAGAGTGTGGGCAGCATTTGAGGACACACAGTCCTCTGATGGTGCTGGAATCTCACAAGATAGGGGGCAATCTCTTTACTTCACCTAAAGCCATTTCAAGATGTAAATGTTAACAGCTGCCACCAGCACCTTCCTTAAAGTAGAAGTCAAGCTGCAGGAAGCCACAGAGGCTCAGCAGGCCCCACTCTTGGGAATGGATTTCCTGGTACTTGTGAGTGCTTCAAATGACAGCTACCTGTGGAGCATCCTCTAGAAAGTTTCTAATTGATTGGTGTCCATTTGGGGGGCTTGCATATCAACAGACTGGCTTCTTAGTCTCAGGGGCACATTAGTCCTCCACACACTCCCTAGGTGTGCCGGAGCTTCTCACGATCAGCCAGGAAGCCACAGAGAAGAGATACCTGCCTGAGCAGCACACACTTGAAGGATCTGAAGCAGGACAGAACTCCAGGCCAGAGTGCAGAAGGAAGACCTTTCTTTCTGTTGGTGCTGTTTGAATGGGAACCAGTGCTTAGCTACCAGGATAATTCTTAGACTTCACTTTTTAGTTACATTTAAAACATTGCCTCCTTGCACAGTGTAATGATTGCTCATCCTTGTGGTTTTCATATGTCTGTGAAGGTATTTTCAGAGTGGTTTAAATGAGAAGGGGAGAGACCCAGCCTGAATGTGGACCTCATTAATCCCATGGATTGAGGTTCTAAGCTGAATACAGTGGGGGAAAAGAAGAAGACCAGTTGAGCATCAGGCCTTCCTCACTGCTTTTCTACTTCCTGTTTCACTGAGAAGTGAGTGGGACCCCTCAAGCTCCTGGAGTCACAATTGACCATCCTTCCCCATCATGAAGGACTGTGTCCCTTCAAACTGTCAGCCAAAATAGCCCTTTCTTCATTTCAGTTGTTTCTTGTCCAGTACTTACTCATAGCAATGAGAAAAGTAGTTAATACACATGCCATATTGCCATAGTGATAAAATAATGAGATTAGGTGCCCCACCTGGGTCAGAGTAGTACTAACGGAGGCTGTACATTCTAGTTTTATGCCAATGTGACATAAGCTAGAGTCATCAGAAAGGAGGGAGCTTCAATTGAGAAAATACCCCATAAAATAGGGCTATAGGCACTTTGATGATCCCCCATGGAAAGCCTCACCCTCTAGAGGAATGGGATGTCGGGTTGGTGGGGGACATGGGAGGATGATAGGGAGAGGGAACTGGGATTGATATGTAAAATAAGATTGTTTCTCATTTAAATAAAAGGAAAAATATGGCTATAGGCAAGTCTGTAGGACATTTGTCCAGAGGATGCCATTTCTTGGCTGTGGTCCTGGATTCTATAAGAAAGCAGGCTGAACAAACCACAAAGTGCAAGCCAGTAAGCAGCACCACTCCATGGCCTCTCTATCAGCTCCTACCTCCAGGCTCCTGTCATGCTTGAGTTCCTGTCCTGACTTCTTTGATGATGAACTGTAATGTAGAAGTATAAGTCAAATAAACCCTTTCATCCCAAAGTTGTTTTGGTTAGGGTGTTTCATCACAAAATTGGTACTGGAATAGTGAAATATTGCTGTGACAGATCTCGCAATACTGTTTTGGGGAGGACTTTAAAACTTTGTGCTACAAAAGACCTTAAGTATTGACAACTCAAAGAGTGACTCCTTAGGATCTTGGAAGACTGAGAGTAATCCAGACAATGGAGGCCTGGATTGTGACATTTCAGAGGGAAGCAAAGATTCTACCGGGGCCTTCTGTGTGATGAATCTGTTATGTCTGGTCATCTGGGGCTGGAGAATCTTCTGTGATTAACAAGAGACCAGAAACACTAAAGTAAGACCTCTGTCTACTGGGGCAATTAATGCTGGTCACCTAAAGCTGAAAAATTAGCAGTGATTAAGAAGAGACCAACATCGTTGAGGTAAAAATTGTCTGGGCAGAGCTTCCTCAGAGACAGCACACAGAGGCTGTGTTCCAGAGGTGGCCAAGATTGTATCTAGCACTGGCAGCTGAACTTGGTCATGTGAGAGTCACTCAGGTGGTACTTGTTTTGAAGGCATGAAGAGGTAATGGAGAGCAGCTGAGCCGTGGCACTGTGCTAGGCCAGGAGAGGCCATTGATGAAGGTATAGCCTCAGTAGCATTTGAAGGTGCAGCATTGAAAGGGTCATGCAGAGAAGGCGAGGTTTGACATTATGAAGAGAGCCTATGAGAGGTTATTGGTGAAAGTGCAGTCAGGCTGCAATAGAAGACCCCAGCATTTTGTAGATGCCAGTACCATGGGATGACCGCCAACAAGAGCAGTAGTGGAGTAGAGCCTGTCTGATCCTACAAGTCAAGCTATGTGTGCTGCAGAGGGTAGAGTTGGAGAGATGACCCAAGCCCTTTGGAGGAAGCCAGAAGGTTGTGAGTGAATCCCAAACATTAGACATTGGGTTATTTATAAAGTAGGAGTTTGATTTTTGCTTTGTTCAGATTGTGACTGTGCCTTGGTTCTTCCCTCTTGAAGTAAGAAGGTGTTTGATTTAATTATGAATTTTGCAGAGTCCACAGCTGAAAGACTTTGAACTTTTAAAAGAGATTTTGGATTTTTAAAGAGAATGGATATTTTAAAGAGATTGAAGTTTTAATGTGTTTGAATTTGTAAGGACTGGAACTTTTAAAGTTATGTTTTGTACTGTGATATTAATATTAATGTGGCATCTTGAAGATAAATGAGAAAAGAACAGTTCTAATTGAAAAGTGATGTGTTCGTGTGTCAAGTTGACAAGGGGTCAGTTGTGATGGCTAGTTTTATGTCAACTTGACAGAAGCTAGAGTCTTTAGAAAGGAGGGAGCCTCAATTGAGAAAATATCTCCATAAGTTCAGGCTACAGGCAAGCCTATAGGACATTTTCTTAGTTAGTGATTGATGAGGGAGGGCCCAGCCCATTATGGGTGGTGCCATCCCTGGGCTGGTGGTCCTGGGTTCTATAAGAAAGCAGGATGAGCAAGCCACAGGGAGCAAGCCAGTAAGCAGAACCCTCCATGGTCTTAGCTCCTGTCTCCAGGTTCCTTCCCTGATTGAGTTCCTGTCCTGACTTCTTTTGATGATGAACTGTGATGTGGACTTGTAAGTCCAAAAAAAAAAAAAAAAAAAAAAAAAAAACCCTTTAATCTCAAAGTTGCTTTGGTCATGGTGTTTCATCCTGAAGTCTTGCCATCTGTCAGTTGTCAGATATCCTTACCCCCAAAGACAGAGCAAGGAACTTGAACTTTTACCGCTGTTTGATACTTGAAGTGGTGTGATATCTGTGTGGCATGCACAGTGCCTGCTGAGACGAAGATTAAATAAGACCACAAATCTCATTGTATAGGAGGGAAAATATTTATTATACAATTGAAAGTCACTTACCATATCAAGAACCAGGACATTCTCAACTGGAACAAGAAAAGAAAATTGAGAGAAATCAACACCCAGATGGCACAGATGTTGGAGTTATCTGAGGAGTTTGACAGTGCTTTAGGGGGTCCACCTCATGCTCACCATAGGCTATGTTCTTAGGCTGACTGTATATAAGAAAGAGGCAGAGTAAACCTACCCCCGTTCACCTAAACCCAGGCCATTATGCCTAGACTATATTGTGGGAGGGGATACATGGATTTGGAAAGAAGAAAATGCTTCATTGAGCAATCAGGGACAAGCTGGAAAAATGGATGAAAAAGCTTCATCAAATAAACAGACAGTCTCAGTAGAAAAACAATGGAAGTAGAAAGAATAATGGAATTATGGGAACTGAAGTGGAAAGAAGAATGGAAGTTTGGGAATGAATCAATAACCTGGAATTTTCAATGGATACACTCAGCAGGAGAATGAGAAGAATAATGCATTAGAGAACTTGGGGCCAGAACAGCAGAAATGACTTAGTCCTGGCAATAGAGGACATGTCAGAGCCATAGAAGCACATGAAAAGTGAAAGAAGGCCTTTCAAATGGCTGGGAATCTCTCACAGTTTTCAAGTTCTGACCCTCACAATGAAGAAGCTGAGCAACACAACACAGTGCAGTCCCATAGAGATCACACAGAACTTACCAGCACATTTTGAACACCAAAGACAGAGAACTGCTGGGTCCTCTCACAGTCAGGGCTGTGGGAAGGGCAGGTCCAGCAGGTCACTTCCTGGGGCTGAGCTGGATGGTATCAATGACCCAGACCCCACCCCCCAAGTCACCGGAGAGAACCGCACTGAGTCGTGGAGACCCATGGAAGCAGAGTCTCACTTTATTGTAACAGGCATATGCTTATACAGGGTTGAGAAAGTGGGTGGGGACCTCAGGGTGGGGTAAGGTGTAAGGGCCAATAATATTCCATCACATTAGCAGTAGCTGGGCAGAGGCAGCTTTGCTGAGACAGGTCGCCAAACCCTAGCCAGGCTCAGTAAATTCCACTAGGCCTTGTGTCGAGGCCTTTTTAGGTCCAACAGAGAACATTCTTAGAAAGAGCCAAAGGAAAAAGCTTATCTTACCCCCACTCTGAGCAGGAAAACAATTTAATGACAACCAATTTCTCATCAGGAGCTGTAGAAACCCAGGAAGAAATGTACAGTACTTTTCAAATGGCTAAAGAAGAGATTTATCAACTCAGAAATCTATGTCCTTTAAGAGGGGAATGAAGATGTTTTAAAATTAAGGAGAGCTAAGAGTGTTTGTCACCAGTAGACTTATCCTAAAAGAGTGGCTGAAGAGAGTTCTCCTAAGCAGAAAGAGAACCCATGTACAAGCTGGATGTAACATTGTAATTCCTGCCCTGGAAAGGAAGAGGCAGTATGATCCTGGCAGTTTTCTGACCAGCCAGTCTAGCTGAATTGGTAAGCCCTAGGTTCAGTGAGAGACACTGAAAATAAGATGGAGAGTGATAAGAAAGATGCCTGGCACCAACCCCTGGTCTGCACACATATGCACACATATGAGTGCAGCATCCCCTACATACACATGTGAATTCAAGTCTACACATTAGAAAATAAAATCACTAACAATGGAGGAGTGTTCTGCTTATTCCAGCATAAGTTGCCATCACACATTTTTAGTTTAGCCATTCTGATAAGATAAGATGGGATCTCAGAGACATTCTGATTTGTATTTTCTGGATGGCTAAGGATGTTGAGAAATTCCTTAAATGTCTTTCGGGCCATTTGAGTTTCTTCTGTTGAGAATGCTCTGTTTAGATCTGTAGCCCATTTTTTAAGTTGGATTATTTGGTAATTTGGTGTCTAGTTTCTTGAGTTCTTTATGTATTTTGGAGATCAGCCCTCTGTCAGATGTGGGGTTGGTGAAGATCTTTTCCCATCTGGAAGCAGACACAGTACCCACAGCCAAGCACTAGACTGAGCTCCTGGAGTTCAGTTAAAGAGAGGGAGGAGGGGTCAAGAACAAGGGGGTCAAGATCAGGATGGGAAAACCACAGAGAGCGCTGACTTGAGTTAGTGGGAGCTCACAGACTATGGACTGACAGCTGGGGAAACTGCATGGGACCGAACTAGGCCCTCTGAATGTGGGTGGCAGTTAATGTGGCTTGATCTGTTAGGTGGAGCTGGCCGTAGGACTAGGACCTATCCTGGGTGCATGAACTGGCTTTTTAGAGTCCATTCCCTATGGGGGATACCTTGCTCAGCCTTGATATGGGGGGAAGGTCCTGCCTCAACTTGGTTTGCCAGACTTTGTTGATTCCTCAAAGAAGGCCTTACCCACTCTGAAGAGTAGATGGGGAGTAGGAAGGGGGGAGGTGGGGGCAGGGAAAGGGGAGTGAGGGGGGACTGGGATTCATATGTAAAGTGAAAAAAGAAATTTAAATAAAAAAGTTTAAAGAAAGAAAATAAAACCACGCTGAGATGGGCTCCTTGTTGAGTTGCCAAAAGGAGCCACCCAACCCAATTGTGTGCCACGTGAGAGCAAGAATCAACCTTTATTACATTAAGCCTCTGAGATTTGGGGTTGTGTATTAAAACAGCTAGTGTTAATTACCCTGACTAATACACCCAATAAAAGTCAGGGCCTCAAAGTCTGTGTGGAGCCGAATATTAAACGCACACCCAGCACTCAAGAGTAATTAAAAAGTGATTCCAATATTTACTTGTGTCTCTCGAAAAACACCAATGGGGATTCAATTCATCATTTTAGTCACTCATCTCAAAACCTATTTTATTGCCAATATCATCCCCTTTGACCCAGATACTTCCATCCATCAACCCTCAAACATTTTCCCCAACTCCAAGTCCATGCAGGACTTTTTCTCATTAACCCTCCCTTTCCTTCTAGATTTTGATTACGTAGGACTTTCAGTCTCCCTGTGTGTCTTCTCTATCTCCCACACACTGTCTTTCTGTTACCAGGGAAGATCCCCATATCTAGTTGTCTGACATAAAGTGATGTGTAGGCTTATATGAGATTAAGACAGGGAAATAGTAGTGATCCTGAGACATGGTAAGACATGGGCTTGTGCTGCTTTCCTAGGATTCAGTCTCTGAAATAGAGCTGTCATGCAGTTATTTATAGGAAGCATATTGCAAATTAACACCTGTGGAGGGAGAAAAAGCAAGGATGGACCAAGGCAAAGCAAACAGTGTCCCAGTAGCCTGATCACATGTCTTCATGTCTCTTCTTTGGGCTAAAGGGGCTTAGCCTTTGTCTTCCTGCATCCATCTGCCATGGTTGTGATCTGCCTGGGAAGCAGGTGACCTTGGACAAGGGCATTCCTGAGAGGTCTGCCAGCTGAAAGCTGATGCTGACAGCTCTCTCTGTAGCTGGGACAGTGCATCCTGGCTTGTGGGGAGAGCTTGGCAGCAGGTTACTATCCATCACTGTACTGGGAGCTTGTGTATCTGCAGAGGGTGGGTCACTGCAGAGTGGCCCTGAGCTGTCTGTCCTTGCCATGTTGTTAACTGCTGTTCTCCCTGGTCTTCCTTCCCTGAGAAGTATTGAGTCTCTTACACTGTTATAAGCTTGCTGTTTGCCTAAGAAACACACCAAAAATCCCCTCTTCCAAGAAGCCTGTGGCCTGTTCCTCCCTGTGCCTCTCCTCCTTGTCCCAGTGCTGTGCAGTCTCCTGATGCGCTCTGTGCCTCCCCCACCTGCCCTAGTGCTGTCCAGTCTTCTGCACAGGAACAGTGCAGGAAGTTATATGGAGCCTTGGATATGTCTGTACTTGGATTTGAACCCAGCATGGCTGAGAATGCCTACACGGAATCAGAAGATATCTCAACTGATGCCCACTTCAGTTCCTTCCTCTGTTAAATTCAGATAATGTGCCTGCCTAATGCAGGTCTTGTAAGAAAGGCATTCATATATGTCCTGCGTTTGTCCTCAGGATAAACACTTGGCGTGTCCCCTATAAGCATCTGCTATGTGCTAATTATTGATATTTACATTTTTCCTTTAGGTGCATTCAGTTTGCAATTAGTATATCCAGTTAGCCCATGACAGCGCCTGGGAACCTGCTTCTTCAGCAACCTTCTATTGGCATTCTTTGGCCTGCCCTCGCTTCATTAAATGCCAGCAAAGCACAGGCTGCAAAGCCCCCAGCGAGCTGAGTCATTGGTTCATTGTGGTTGCTCTCATGTCCCATTGCCATTCACTGGCTGTCAGTGGCCCTCCTGGCCAGAGAACTCCTTGACTCAGTCTCAGCACTCATTTTTCAGGATAATGACCCCAGACTCATGCAGAGTGACTTGTCCAAAAGAGTAATTTCTAGAGGGCTTTTAGTATTCGATGAGTCCTCATCATCAGCCTTATTTCTCATCACCTACTTCCTTCAACTCTAATCTCTAACCATTTTTATTTTCTTGAGCTTTGCATGCTCAGAGTTTGTGAGCTTTTTTTGCAGGCTGTTTCCTTGGGGTGGACATCTCTTCAGTCTGCTGTCTTGGCTGGGTTGACTCCTGGTCTATCTTAGAGCCAGGCTCTTCCCTTATCTGATACCCTCCTCCAAGATTCCAGGGTCTTCAGGTTTCTGTGTACAGTCTCGTTAAGCTCCATAGGCTTCTGAGTCATGACAAAGATGAATCTCCATCTTCACTGAACTTGCCACCTTGTGTAGGAGATAAATTGTGTGTGCAGAAGTTATAGAGAATATTAGTGGCATAAGTCAAATAAGTGGAATAAGTCAAAAAGATCTTCCTATAGAAGCAGAGGTGGGGGGTGTGTTAACCTGACCTGGAATGGAAGGAAGGGTTATAGCAGGAAACATTAGAGATGGAGCAGTCTGGGAAACAAGCAGAAACAGTATCTCATGGAGCAATGAGGTCTAACACTGGGTACTTCCTGTATCTTTGTGTAGCTTACACAGTGGGCATCTGGTTGTACAAGGAAGAGTAAGGCTGCAGAAAACATGTAGACTGCTTTTGATACTGTGAAAGGTCTGGATGTCAGAGTAACTGACAGAGCTGTGCCTTGGGCATACTTATTTCTACAGAGAGAGCTCAGTCCAAAGGGTCAGGAATAGCATGGCTCTCATGTCAAGTTAGACCATGCCAATAGTGACCGACTGTAACCAAGAGAAGAATATGAGAATAGTCATGAATCCAGGAACACAGAACACAACTTGCATGTCATTGTGTGTGTGTGTGTGTGTGTGTGTGAGAGAGAGAGAGAGAGAGAGAGAGAGAGA